ATTGGTCAATTTTCATATCACCGGGTCCCTCTTAATAAATGATCGGCAAAAATTTTAGCGTACAGTACGTACAGTACTGTACGTATAGTACTGTACGTGGCACATCACTACGTGCACCATTGTTAATTATTTATAGTTATAATATATTTATATTTTGTTTTATTCTTGTAATATTTTAAATATATAATAAAAATAAGGTAATTGTATTATAATTATATTTAAGAAAATTTATGGGTTTCTGAAAAGTACCATAGTCCCGAAGACCTTATATTTTTTAAATATCGTATGTAATATGGGATTGAGTCCTATTTAGGGTAGAAAGCTTATATTTTTCATGAGTGCTGAAAATTAGACTTCGGGTTTTCAATTTTAACATTTATCAAATACATCCCATGAAAGATCTGAGTTACATTCATATACGTTACCATTTGGTTTTTCAAGGACTGAATCTGGTTAATAATAAGTATTAATATTGAAAGTCCAAGTCTCATTTTTCGCAACATTGGTTTTTTTTTCGTTATGGAAATAAAGTCTAATCGAATAATGCGACACAAATCTTCATAAACATGACAAAAACACTGGTATAGATGATCGGGATAAAAAGCTTTGATTCCTCGCAATTTAGTGAAATAAAAATAATTGGACGAGGAGGATCTGCAATCATGTATTCGATGTGCACTGAAAAGTTTAAATAATAACTTATTGTTGGATGAAAAAGATTTAAACAAATTAAACGTGAGGTAATGAATTATTCATTATTATTCTAAATTTTATTTATTTATTTATTTTTAACATCAAAACTAACAATTTCAGTATAATAAACAATTATGCGCAGCTTAAATACTTGCATAAAGTTCGTCATCCAAATATTATTGAACTCTATGGAATTTTAAGAGGTATGTGCATGTATTACAGTATTATTAATGTCCAAATTTAAATAAATTTATTGTTATTTATATATTTAAAATATAAAATATACAATTATCGGATAATTTAGATTCACGAACCGGTAATTTTATGCTGGTATTACAATTTGCAAACGGGGAAATTTACGGGATCATTTACAAAAAAGACAATATGATAATATTTATAAAATCTCATGGATTAAACTCATCCAAATCGCAAAAGAAATTACTCTTGGGTTGAAACATCTACATACTAATGGCATCATCCATCGTGACCTAGTGGGTTTTGATCTTTGTGTAATATATATTTTAGTTTAAAATTTAATCTTAATCCTAAATTTTAATTATAAAAATTTCTCTAGCATTCTAAGAATATTTTAATAAATGATGGAAAAGCCTTAATCGCAGATTTTGGAATATCGAAACAATTAAATGATACTACGAATCAAGTTCAAATACAACAGGCATAATAGCATACACTGACCCACGATACATTCTTCAATGTAAAGCTAGCCGCGATGAAAATCTGAAATTTACCTCCTCAAAAATAAAGTTAACCGCGATGAAAGATCAGATATTTATAGTCTTGGAGCATTGCTATGGGAACTTACAAGTGGAATTCCACCGTTTCATGGTCTTAACATTTCGACCATAATCTTAGAAATTTCGCAGAATAAAAGAGAGAAAATTATTGCCAATACACCATCAGATTACGCTAATCTCATCGAGAAATGTTGGTCATCTGATCTAGATCAACGTCCAACACTAGATCAAATTTTGATAGAACTTGAGAATTTATCAAATAGAACAACTATTGAATTTATAACAAATGAAAACATCAAGAACAATCAACTAATTATGCAACCAGAATCAAATAATGAAAATTCATTAAATTTCTTTAATTGTAGGACTGAAACTACGTGCAAACGTCATGGTGGTAATTAACACATTTCAAATATTAAGATAAATTATTATCAGCATTTATTATAATACGTTTTTAGTTAATAAATTCTTTAATAACACGAATATTTTATTTAGAATTTGACCCAAAAGAAGAGTCGCGAATATTACTTGGCTCGTATTTATCCAATAATCGTAATATTGGCAGAATATCTGCACATTATTATTTATGTTCATTTTAATTATATGTGATTTTATTAAGATTTCTTTTATTTTAGATGATAAAATTGAATCTAAAAACGACGAACGCTCAAATGATACTTCCAGTGATTCAAGTAAATAGGTGGAATTTATTTTTTAAACCCGGATTTTGTTGGTACTACAACCTTACTCATGTGACGTAGTAGGGAGATCAAGCTTTTTTTATCGATCGATCATATGATTTATACTACATCGTTTTTTTTTACCCAAAACAAGATTCGAGTTCTACTGCTGACAATTGTAGTCCTAATTATGTGCAATATTCAAGTTCTACTACTGTTAACGATAATTCCAACCTAGGCAAAATTCAAAGTCTACTTGTGATAACAATAATCCTAACGCTGTGCAAGATTTAAATAATGATTCTTTGAATGCTGTTAATTCAGAGCAGGAAGATCCTGGTAAGAGTTCACCATTTGGAATGTAGATCATAAAAAACTATATCGAATTTTTTACATTTGAATGCTGTTAAACTAGAGCAGACAAATTCTTATAAAGTTCTAGTGAAAGCATTATTATTAAATTCGAGTAATAACGTCCCTAGTAAATATTTTAGTTTTATTAATGCTTTTTATTTTTAATTATCGCTGAAATATATCATTTTAGCATCCTCAACAATTCGACAGCGTCGACCCGTTTTAAATGGCACGGCATCTGAAGCACCTGAAAGATTTGTCGTGAAGATATTTTCATTTTTATCAATATTTAAAATATTAGGAATATGTTTAATTGCCTTTCTAGGAATAGGTTTAATTACCTTTCTAATTGTTCTAATTGTTCCTAAAGTAAGAATAAATCATTAAATATAAATATAATATTTTATTTAAAAATTAAATTCTAAATTATAATTTGAATATTATTTATTAGGAGCAATTCGGTCAAACTTCTCAAAATGTATTTCAAAGTAGAGATTTATATTTTGGTGCACCCATGCACCATGGTGCACCCCCAAAAAAATTAAGAAGTTAATATTAGTTAGGGTTAGGGTTAGGGTTAGGGTTTAAATTAGGGTTAGGTAAAATTGCAAGAGGAGCATTTTTACTTAGTAAAGTTTTGAGATTAGTTAGAGTTAGGGTTAGGGTTAGGGTTTAGGTTAGGGTTAGGTAAAATTGTGTAACGAACATTTTTTGTTAGTCACACAACAGGGTTACCCTAGTAAAATTTTGAGATATAGCTAGGGTGCATCATTTTTTAAAATCCTTTAAAGTATTATAAATTTTGAAATTCCAGGTAATATATATTTGTTTAATGAACATATAGGTTATTTAATTATTTAATCTATATTTTTAATATTTATTTAGAAACAAATGTAATAAGTTATTATCATGTAAAAATGCAAGAATTCAGTGTGAAAATAAAAACCAATAAAAATATAGTTAAAAATATAGTGAGAATTTTAGAAGTACTTCTAGAATTAGATAAAGAAGTGCAAGAGGCAGTTAATAAGATAGAAGAGTTTTGAGATGAGGCGAAAAGGTTTTTCTTTTTATTTTCAAATAAGATGAGATCGATCACTAAAGAAGTAATTGGATCAAATAATATGACAGACTTTACTCGTAAGAGACTCGAAAAAATAGAAAGTCTTATATCTGAACTTCAAGAAAAACTTCTACAAGTTCTTAACTCTATATATTCAATACAAATTATTACGGATAATGCGCAAGAGTATCTGATTTATGGAGAACATAAGGCCAGTCAAACCTTAAAAGAATACTGGATAGTGTTACTATTGTTTGGGAGAGCGATTGTAATATTAGATGCGATTTAGCTCCAATAGTGAACTTGGGCGGTTTATAAGTATCGTTCATTAGGGCTTGAACACATGAATTGAGATCTCGATTTACGTAGATCGGAATCGGGTCCCAGCTAAATTAGTCCTGATTTAGATTATGCATGTAATTTAAGGGTTAACAAAAAGAGTAATTTGAGGATGGCGTCAGTTAATAATGAGTATTAGAAACAATAGGATGGGTCTATACTAGGAATAAGGGCGGTTCAATATGAGATAATAAGATGGTTTATAGGTAACAATCGAAAATACTGGTTTTAATAGATTATAATCAGGTAACAATTTGGATAATTCTAGGGTAACAACAATACAACTAAAAAAATAAAATAAAATAAAATAAAAAATATGTTTCAACAATATTGTTCATAACTATATAAACAAGTGAGAATTCGATTCTTATTTCATATTTATTGAAGACATCGAAGTTTGAGAGAAACTTTATTAGCGAAAACTTCAGGTCTTTAAATACATTTTCGTTTATATAAGACTGGGCTTCTCATATTTTTAGAATAATTTAAATTCCCTTCGCCTCCTCACAACGCTTGTGCATGATCCAGCACAATGATTGTGAGAGATTCTTCTACAAGTAATCCCCTTCATACTACCGGGAACTAAGCACACAATAATTGTGAGCTAAACTTCAATCATAGCTATCGATATCTAATCTAGGGATCTATCACTTAATACATATCTTATAAATAAACAAATAATAATAAAAATAAAAGAAAATAAAAGAAATAAAAGATTTGTCTAAGCCCTAAATGGCTTTTGTCATGGGACCCGTGACCTTTCCCATAACAATAGGTAATATTAATGATATTATGGAGCAAATAGGTGAACTTGCAAAGATTCGCCTTATAATTAGAAGGGTGCACTCTAATTTTCAAGTTTTTGAAAACTTTTTAAAAGCATATCGTCACAATATACAAAGTGTCGACAATGAAATCAGAAAAGTTCAAATAAGATTACATGTAACAGCAAAAGACATGATATATTTGAAAAAAGCAGTTGAAATCCTTGAACGATATGTGCAATTTTCTTTAGCAAAGAAACCACCTGTATATAAATCTATAATACTTATAATAATGAATATCTTAAAGAATTACAGGTATTCTATACAGTCAGCATAGCGGGCTTTAAATCTAATTGGATGATCACCCGGAATGTTTTACAATATGTTTTACATATTAGCGTAATGTTTCTCAGTCACAAAAATGGAACCACAGCTACGAGCACAAAACCACAGAGGTTGCATATAGAAATTTAGAAACTACACCTTCAGCTCTACATAAATGAAGTAATTCGGAAATTAGATGAGAGGTATGTCTAGACGTTTCAATTTAGCCAATATAGCTTACAGTATATTAAACTTGGTAAAATGGCAGCAATTTCAAAAGGTTTACAGCACTAATCTATTTATTAATAACTTATTATTCTAAAGACAGACATATACTGCCAATAAAATAAAATAGTAACATTTGAGAACAAAGAAGTAATTCAGAAGTTACTTTTTTTTAATATTAATTTACAAATAACGAACTAAACCGCATTTACTAATAGTTTTTTTTTTATTATAAAACTTTTTCTGATTATAAGTATTCGATCATTTTTAAACATTATATTAAATATACTGTAGAATAGGTATAGAGTATGTACGATTATACGCTATGTTTTTGTAGTTAGTGGTTTTTTTATACTGTTTATATATCCTCTATAAGCATATATTCTACCTATTAATAGTTTATTATTATTATTTGGTAAATTATTAAACTATGTACCTGATTTAATTTAGTTAATAAAGATTATCTACGTATGTAATTATTGGGATCCAAGCATTAAATATTATCATTATTTGTTATTAAAATTTATAATTTAATTGTGTCTTTCGTTAAATTTTTTGAACTTGTTTTCTATTGGCCAATTATATCTTGTAAAATCACGGAATGATCTACAAAAATTAGCCAATTGGAATGAAAGCCCACTTTGCTTATATAGTTGACTCTGGATATAACAAACCTTTTTATAACAAACTCACTTTATAACAAACTTTTTTTAGCAGATTTATTATAGAGTTCAGTATAAAAACATAGTAAATTCTCTATAAAGAACTTTTTAAAAATTTTTACATATAGACCCCAGGGTTCGTTATATACAGAGTCGACTATATCTGTATATTTGAAAAAGAAAGTCAAAATAGTATTAGAGCTCTTTTATTTCATTATGTATTACTTGAAAGAATTGATACAGATTATATTCAGCTTTAAACATTGTTATAGAATGCCTAAGAACATATTAAAGATTATGTTCTCAAAAGATCCAGAAGACCATGACGATCAAAACAAGCTATAATACAAAATGGACTAATGGATAACTGGCAATTGATAAACAAAGATAAGCCAAAAAGTGACAAACGATAAACCGGAATGGATTTACAATACTTGTAAATCCATATTTATAATATTTCTTTATAATGTTTCTTAATATTTCTTTATGTTTCTTAATGTTTCTTTATGTTTCTTAATGTTTCTTTATATTTCTTAATGTTTTTTATGTTTCTTAATGTTTCTTAATATTTCTTAATGTTTCTTATTATTTCTTATTATTTCTTATAGTTTTATATTCTTTGATATGTGTTGTAAAAGCTATATAAATCCTAGCTTTTACTCTTTCTTTAACTTTAGGATTTGTTCCCTGCAATGTTCTAAATATTAGGATTCTATAGGAATAGATACCTGTAGATAGCTTTGTAGGCATTGTATTATAAATAAATAAATATATCTTTGTCCTAAAGTAAACCATGTCTCTATGCTTCTAATGAATATACTGAACTGCCCTAGTGAGGAAACATTCTATTTCCACACTGCTTCATATCTCGCCTGTTATCTTAGAGATTCCTGTCACTGTGTGCTATGTTGCAAGTAGTAAATTAAGAAGGCTACCTCACTTGTAACAACATAATAAAACCAAATTTGATGGTTTACAATAGATTAATTAAAATTTACAGTATTTTTCTCATTAAATAAATATCTTCGTATTGAAAATATGAATAGAATAGATTGGGCATAAATACTTTTTAACAATTTAAAAAGTTCTTTTAAGATATGACATTTCATAATTTATTATTTTCTTTGCTTTATGTATCAATATTATCTCTAAATCATTTTGAAATTTATCTATCATAATTTATTAATTGAGTGATTAGATTTATTATAATTTACTGTTAAAATTGTATTGCAGAGCTCTGCTATAGTAATAAAAGCGATTAGGTATGTAATTACTTATTTGCTATAGCCAATAGTGACATATACAATAGATAAGAATGTGTTAATGATTTATATAATTGATTTACTATAAAAATTTGGTTACTATACTTAGTGTATATAATAATATAAGTAATTTGAATAGCTTATGCTAGTTGCTATTGGATTTATCTTGATGTCTATTTTATTTGCTAGATACTACTATTATAGTAATACACAGTATGGAATCAGTGTTTCGGCCTAAACTGAAACTTCTGAAACCGGATAAAACCTCCAAAACTGGATGAAACCTCTGAAATTGCCAAAACTTTCGAAACTTCTGAAACCCCTGCAACTTTTGAAACAGGCGAAACTAATAGCAATAAAATCAAAAAAATC